AGGAAGGAAGGAAGGCGGCCGGGCTGCTCGGCTGCTCCTCCTCCTCCTGCCGCCGCCGCCGCAGCCCCCTCTCCCTCAGGTTTTGTAAACCTCCATGAATATCATAGACTCACCCCCCGTGTAGCAAGACTAAGAGATAGGCACTTGTTGTTAACAGTGGGTCCACGGTAACGTAAAAATGGACGTGTGTTCATTCATGGCTTTCCTGCACCGCGGCCCATGGCATAGCTCTTTGCTGTCTAGAGCAAAGCAATGTGTCTTGTCTAAGCGAACTCTGGGCAGCGAAATCCCTGCCCTAAAATTCCTCCTCCCTTCGAGCATGAGTTCCGCCTTTCTTCTTCTAGGTCAGTGTTATAGGTACGCCAGCAGAAGAAGGGGGAGCAGGAAAGGCAGTCCTGGCTAAAGCGGGTGCTTTTGATGACTTGGATGTTGTGTTCATGGCTCATCCCTTTCAAGAAGACTTGCCTTACCAGCCCACTCTAACAGATCGCAAGTAAGTAAACTGTTCCCGTTTTCAGCTGCACTGAATAGAAATCATAACAGTTGATGACTTTCTAAATTGGAAGCATTTTTGTGCTATTTTTCCTCAAAACTAGCTCCTTGACCATTTTACAGGATAGAAATAAAACCGCCTGTAAGAGATTTATTTATTTATTTTATTGCATTTATATGCCGCCCATCTAGACATAGTCTACTCTGGGCGGCTCACAACTTAGAAGATAAAAACAATTTAAAATATACAGTTTTACATTAAACAAAATGATATAAAATATAATATAAATTTATGATTTTAACAGTTAATTTAAAGCAAAGAGTCCCAAGATGGCAAGAATAAAGGAAGAAAAATAAGAATGACTTAATTGACTGAAGGGAAGGCCTGCTTGAATAGCCAAGTTTTCAGCTGGCTTTTGAAAATGCCCAGCGAGGGTGCCAGCTGAATTTCAGTGGGGAGGGTGTTCCATGAAACCAACAGAAAAAGGAGCAAAGATTCAAACAATATTTAGAATACCAAAAGGCCTGAGTTAATGAAGAAATGGTTTTTGGTTTGAAATCTAAGAGAAAAGCAGTGCTGGATTTTTGCATCATAGCCTTTTTAAATTATGCAGTATGTCCTCTCTTGCTTTGAGGAGTAGCTCTTTCTCCAAAAGTAGCTAGATACAGTACTGTGAGGTATCCAGAAAAGTGTGATAACAATCCTGTATACAGTATTCAAATGGATAAAAGTACAGAACTGCTCTGTTATGCTTTAACCTTATAGACTCCTTGTTATGGGGCCATCATTCTGAACAGAAGACAGGGTTTTCCCCAAAGTGAACTGTAGCACTCATCCTGATGTCTCACCAGATTCTCCTTTTGTCCAGGGATCTGCAATTTAAGGAGACAGCTGCTGTCCTGTGGGGAGTAGCCTGATATCACCTGAGGGCTTCCATTTATAATGCCTAATATATGTATTTCATCAGTTAAGCTATACTGTACTGATATTACGGAGTCTTCTGCTCATGGAGTAAGTTAAACAGAATGGTGAACCAAATCGAGGAGAACTGGGCTCGTGGCCACCACTGTTGAAGAATACTGAAACGGAGAAGAATGACTTTGGCAAATGATATTCCAATAAAAGGTGGCTGGGAGGATAATATTCAGAACTTGTAAGATGATGTGAATATTTCAGAGGAAAAGTATCTAAAGGCCAGTTTTAAGGAGTACATCTTGATGATAGATTTTAAAACTGTTCATGAGCAAAATTTCTTTTGTCTTTGTGTGTACGTTATATTGTTAAAATGGTAGTACAAATACTGTCAAAATTGAGCCTTGCAACATCAAGCTTTTACTTCAAGATCCATGTGACCAAACAATTACCTTGAGGTGCTTTATAGGGAAAGAGTGTGGGATATGAAATTCTGCATATTTTTTTCAGTTTAATAATCATATTTGTGCTTATTTATTTTAATTTATTTTATACAACACTATTCCCAAAGATAATGCCACTGTGGTGTGCATAAATTATAAAAAGCAATAAAATCTAGCTGTGCAAATTAAACAGTGATGTTAAAGCTGCTCCTATTTTACAGTGATTAATTGCACTTTTTAGAGCTAATATAGTTCTGTATTAAGAGTCCAATTAGATATATTTGATTTTCGTTTCCTAGTATGACTGTGAAATACTATGGAAGAGCATCTCATGCAGCTGCTTACCCTTGGGAAGGAGTAAATGCATTAGATGCTGCTGTTGTTGCATATAACAATCTGTCAGTTCTAAGGCAACAAATAAAGCCAAACTGGAGGCTTCATGGTGAGCTACAGGAACTGTCTCTGTAAGCAATCACAAGTTTGTTACCTGATTCTTTATATGATTGGTTAGAAGTAACTCCTACTATTTCATTGGTGACTGTTCTAAATCATACATCCAAATTAGCATGTCTAATTGTGAAGATAGCATGTTAGAACAGTTGATCAAGTAAGTTATTTGTATGATTTCTGAAAAAGATAAAATCTGTTTTATAATAATTTTATAATCAACTTTGGTGCTGGTTCACATGGTCTGAATCTTAAGTTATTTCATTTGTGGAAGCAGTACCATTATTGGAACCAGAAACCAAGGCAGTTGCTCCTCCCCTTCTGCATCCTTCACAATTTCCCCCGGAGCAGATTTTCAGATAGTACAGAGTGCCATAGATGGGAAGAAGTGGAGACTGTTGCTCCAATAGATTTCTCCTATAACAATATTTTATTTAACCTTATCCTTGAAAATATAATGATTTTTAAGTCAAAGTAAATGGAGAATTTTAATTTTCTTAATCAAGAACTTGGAAGCATAAAATAGAAGGATACTACTCACACAAATAATGAAGCACTTAATAAATTAACAAATGCGATGTTCTTACTGCTGTGCAACGTTGAGATACACATTTGTTGCACTATTTTTAGGCATCATAAAAAATGGTGGAGAGAGGCCAAATATTATACCTTCTTACACAGAGCTTGAATTCTATTTGCGTACACCTCTATTAAAGGAACTACATATTCTGACAGAGAAAGCTGAAAATTGCTTCAAGTCTGCAGCTCTGGCCACAGGATGCAAAGTAAGTTTTTTGCTGGTGCATATATTTAATTAGGATTGACATGTAATCCCCAATACTTTTATAGCTGCTATAAGTTTAGAAATTTAGAAGTTACTATGTGATGTTATTATTGTAGCCAAAATAGTTACAATATTCAAGTTCCACATTTTGTGGGCAATATAAAGAATTGTTTTAATTCTTTGTGGAATTATCTAGTACAGTGGTCATCAACCCCTGGTCCCAGACCTGGTACTGGTCCCTGGCCTGAGTGAAGACAGACCTCCAGCCCCCAAGTACAGTGGTCATCAACCCCTGGTCCCAGGCCCGGTACTGGTCGCTGGCCTGAGCGAAGACAGACCTTCAGCCCCCCTTCTGAATGCACTCCCCTCCCCACAGCTGCTTTGTGCACACCATGCATGCCAGCCCCGACGTGAGCGCTCCTTCACCCTTTTAAGCATGCACCCTCATGCGCAAAGCAGCTGTGGGGAGGGGAGTGAGTGCAGGGGGGCGGGAGGTCTGTCTTTGTGGGATGGCAGCGGCGGCAACGGGGATGGCCCAGACTGGGAGGCTGAGCATAGCCAGGTGATCCGGGTGCTCGCCTCCCAGCAGGCTCCAACAAGGCCAGGGTGGGTGCTCCTCAGCAGCCCTCCTTCCCTCCTCAATCTGTGAGCCTTTCCGCGGCCCCCTTCCTGAAGGAGGCACCAGGATCTAGGGGCGAGGCGAGGCAGTGCCAGGCTGTGTCAGGCGGGCTGTGTCAATGCAAAGTCGGGAGGGTGGGGAACAGTGCCATTTAACAGGAGGGAGGGAAGAGTCAATGTCAATGCAAAGTCGGGAGGGTGGGGAACGTTGCCATTTAACAGGAGGGAGGGAAGAGTCGAGTGAGTGGAGGTAGAGGGGCTCTCTAGGAATCCGCTCCCCACCACTCGCAACAGCAGCGCTGGACATGAATGGAGAGCGTGTCTCTCTCTTAGCGGGGGCGACTGGGGGAGATGAGCAGGCTCAAAGCCACGCCTAGAGCCGAGGGGAGGGGAGGAAGTCTGAAGGTCCCCATTCCGCCCTCATGGTCCATGTTTTTATATTGTTCCATTTTTCTCCTTCCAAGCCTTGGTGAAAGTTTCCGTGATGTCCAAGCTGAGGAGGGAGTTGGGAATTATTCTCATGTTACATAATTCCCTTCTTGCCTTTGCATCTATGGGTCTTCTCCCCGTTTCTCTTCACCCTCTTCTTCCCGGTCAACTTTGAACCTCATCTCCTCCTCCTCCCAGTCATCTTCCAGCATCTCCTGCCCGCCTCGACATACCCCTCCATTTATCATCTAAACACCCACCTTCGTTTGGCTTGCCTTCCTTCTGAAGGAAACATGAATTTGTAGTTTTCCCTACAGAATTACAGCAGCCCCCCAGGTGCTACTCATCCTCCTGCTCTTTCTTGTCACCCTACAATGTCTTTTCTTTCCCTAAGGGCATGCTCTCAGATACCTGCCCTAAATAGCTTCTTCCCCCACTTTTGTTTGCTTATTTCTTCAGTACCAGAATGAAGAACAATGGGGTGGTAATGATTTGCTGTTCTCTTTGGCTTGAACTAAAGCGCCCCCGAACCGGCACCAGCAGCTGCTCGCCGGGGAGGCTGCATCATCGGTCATCGTCGCACCTCGCCATTTGAATTTCCTGCCGCGGAGGGCAGGGAGGAGTGCCGCACCTCCCCGCCTTGTTGGAGCCTGTCAGGAGGCGAGTTGCCGGAGGGAGCACTCTGGCCATGCTTATACTCCCAGGCTTCCACTGCCGCTGGCATGCGCTCCCTCACTCCTTCAAGTATGCCCCTCCATGCAGGGAGGTGGGGTGGGCGTGTGGGTTGGCAGGTGCTCCTGTGCACATGTGCAGTGGTGGAAGCACGCGCACCTCTGGTGCGTGCGCTCCCCCCCCACTTCATGCGTGCGTTGGAGAATGTGACTACGAGGGGCCGCCACACCTCCCTCAGAGGTTCAGTCGGTCCGGAGTATGAAAAAGGTTGAGGAGCTCTGATCTAGTATACCTCTTTAGGCCTTCCTAGTTTAAAAAGATTTGTAATCTGCTAACTCTTCATTTGCTACCATGCCCTTAAGTCATTCTATCTTGATCAAATTGTTGCTTAAGAATAGTGAAATAATATATTCTAAATTTAATATTTGTGAAGTGCTCTGTATTTGGCACTCAGAAGCTTTCTTGCTTGTTTACAAAATAAATTACTATTTTTGTTGAAATGTAGTGCAAGTAATTTAGACATTCTAGCTTTTCTTAAAGGACCTATATCACTCTGTAAATAAGCTTTTTTCAGTTTTAAAACATCACTCAATAGCTGTGTTTGGCTGCATTTATCTTTTCAGGTAGAAATAAATAGTGAGTATGCAGATTACTGGAATGTCCTCCAAAACAAAAGACTGGAACAAGCATATGTGGAAAATGGAAAAGTGCTGGGAATGAAATTTCCAGTTCAAGCAAACGTGTCTGTTTCATCCGGTAATCCTTGGTGTTTTTTTTATTGCCAATTTTGTGTGGAGAATGTAATGTGCATCTGTTTTCAGTATAACATTATTGTTCTTTTCTTCAGTCAACTGTTTGATCTGCCTCATCTGGAAGTAAGGAAATTGGTGGTGTTGGCCAAGGTCCTGCTGTGTAGCAGGGTATACGACACTAGAGTAAGCCCATTGAATCAATAGGGATTTGATGGGTTCAACTTCTCCATACATTCTAATGATTCAAGTGAGCCTGCTTCAGCATAGTAAGTTGCAGTTAGAGTAAGGCTGTTAGAATCAACAAAACTTATGGATGAGTTGACTCACCAAATTGATTTGTTGACTCTAGTGAAGTGGTTCCCAGCTGTGGGTAATTGCAGTTCCCAGAAGCCTTCATTACTAGTTGTGTTGGCTGGGGTTTCTGGGAGTTACAGTCCAAGAACATCTGGGTTACTCAGGGTTGCAAATCACTGCTCTAGTGCAATTTGCTATGCTAAGCTACAGGATTTTGGCCAGTGAAGTTTCTTTCAGATCCATTTTTGTTACTACTGGTTTGTCAGAATTGCTTGCAGTCACATGGTTTGCCCTCTTTCTACTATATTGTGCTTGAAAGAATATAATTACACTGAGGATTGTTTTTTTAATGTGTCTTGAATGTATATGCAGTAAATTAACAAAACACTTAAAATGCTGTTTGAAATAAATTGTCACCTTCTCTTCTTAAAATCATCCAGGTTCCACTGACTTTGGGAATGTTTCCTATATTGTTCCTGGAATTCATCCTTATTTTTATATTGGCTCAGATGCTCTGAATCATACTGAACAATTCACTCAGTCTGCAGGTGGGCATTTTGCATTACTGTACACATGCTAGTCTGAAAAAAGTAGTTCTCCAGAAGCCATTAAACTGTGACATTAAATGCAGCGTATGTTTTGGATGTTACAATAATATGAATGTTGGTGTGTCTTCAGGTTCTGAAGTGGCACAGAAATATGCCTTGAGGACAGCTAAAGCTTTGGCAATGACTGCTCTGGATGTTGTCTTTAGACCAGGTCTGTTGGAACAAGTCCGAGAAGACTTCAGGCAAGCAAAACTAAACAGCAGTGCTGAAGTGTAAACAGAAAACTTTTCAGCCTTGGAATAGTCAGAAACGCCTTCATTCGCGTCTGTCAGAGCTATGTTTATTCCACACTAAAATAAATTAAACTGTGCCAAGAATGCTATATGCTGCATCCTTATTGTGTTTTCTCTTTCACACAGTATGCAGTATTATGATCTGCACCATTTAATAGGTGAGTGAAGTCATCCGTCTTTATGGGTTTCTTCAGGCACAACTCACCTGTCAAGCATCTTTGCACCACCAATGCCCATAAATTAATTTTTAAAAAATAGTTGCTCAGTACTACCTAATTTTACTGTTCTCTTTTTATATAGTATTAGAAAGGACTTTCATAGTGTCTCATTTTTGCTCAGTGTAAACATGTAGATGGATGCATGACACATAGCAGATCATATATCAGAAAATGATTGCTTAGAGCAAGAGAAATCTGACTTGTTTTATGCCTGTACTCAGGCATTTTAAAAAAGGGTTAATTTGAAAGTGTGGGCTCGATTCCCCCATCCCACTAGTACTGCTTGCTATTTCCACAGGGAGAGACTCCCAGAGAAGGAAAGCTGTATGTGTGAATGTGTTGTAGTGACACCTGGAGAGTCTGTTATTTGGGCTCTTGACAACTCAGGGTTCCTGACTCTGGACAAGCTGCATGTCCACACAATCTCCACCCTTTTTACAGCCCCAGGAAAGGGGCAGGGCTAAAACTACCTGATGGTGCATTCAAATCAAACCTTTTTAGAACACCTGAATAGGGCTTATATAGTTTTGTAGCAAGTTGTTCATTCATGGGAAACACACCAAGAACTTGTATTGGGATTTGAAACATAAGATCTTTCATTTGTATAAAAGCATGCATTTATTTGGCAATTAAAAAATCCAAGGGGTGAAACATTGTTTTTGTTGTATTTCATGTACATTAAAATTGCACAGGAGAAGGTGAGGTGCTGGCATAACATTCCCATATTCCTCCTTTCTTTAACATGCAGACAAAGTTTATTTACACTAGATGTTTCTGTAGTTTGGATCATGGAGACCTTGGTTGGATCCAGCTTTTGCTACTTTTATACCAGCTGAAGCATTTGTTAAGAATTCTGCTGAAAATGTTCCCACTCGTGGAAAGGAGAGGTAATCCTTGCTGATTTGCTCCTTCCCTCTGCAGTACTTCCACTTCTGTTTTAGGGGGTCTTGTAATCTCCATGTTTCCTTTTGAGTTACAAATGCAGGGGAAAGGGAACCAAAAAGGATCACCCACTCCATTTGTCCATAAGATTCTGCCGTACAAGAGAAGCCTTCTGCAGCCAGAAGGTCTCCTTCCATGAGAGGTAGATTCTGGATCCAGCCTCTAGTGAAGTATCTTGTTTCAAACTCCTGGTTTAAAATCTGACAGTCTGGATATACATAATCAGGAAGAGTTTCCATAAGGCATGATATTAAAAAGAGATTCAGTTGAGCAGAGCACTTTGTGTTTATGATCTGTGTAACAATTTTCAGTTGCACTGCTATAATGGAACAGTTTAGTCAATGCCACAAATATTTTAATTACTATAGCAGCAACACTACAGTATATGTTGCACTCGTGTTTTTAAAAATATCTGAATGTAAACATTGTACCTCAATCTGAAAATGCTGGCAACAACTTAAAGTTGTTAAGAGTACTACTTTGTTCAGATTTCTGTGGAACTATCCATAGGGTGGGATTGAATACCAGAAGTAGTGTTGGTTCATTCAGTAAAGGCTGTTCCCAAATAAATGTTTTATCTTATCAAATTGTTGTTATCAATTGAGGAGGAAGATATGAAAGGTGGCCAGAAATGATTAGCAGTAAGCAGAGGATTAATGTATGCCTTGGAGTGCAGAGAGGGGAGACGTACTTCTGTAAAGAATCTTTATAAAATTTGTGTACAGTATTCAGATGTGCAATCTTAGCTATTTACACAAATACTGGAAATTTTACAATATTACATATATATACATATATATATACATACACAGAAACTATGTATTAATATTGTCCATCACTTCTATAATTGGTATACAGTTTCAGAATGAGAAACTCAGAATGCCCTTAACAGCAACATCACTACTGTGTTCTGTACTCTTAATAATGTCTGGCACATCTTTTAAAATAAAAGTACTATTCAAATAATCTTCTGGATCTGCAGGTTTTTCTCCCTTCACCCATTATGTTTTTCACAGTGAAACTGACAGCACAAACAGGAAGGGTTGTACTTAAGCCCCAATAAAATGAACAGGGAAGAACTTTATATGAATTTCATACAAGAGTATCAGACATTGTAAAAACTGAAGAAAAATAGAGACCGTATCAATTGCAATATTTGCTGGTGGGCTTTACTTTCATATAGTTAACTCCTGTACCACATTGAAATTGACTAAAAAAAAAGAGCTATGAAAAAATTGACCAGTATATCAGGTTAAATAAAATGTATGCTCCTGGAAATATTATTCTGGAATACTTATCAATGGCATGGGTGTCAATCCTCATGCTGCTATATCTCTGGTTTTTCCTCCTGCTTGAGTTCCTTTCTGAGCCAAGTGCCAGCTGGACCATCATTCTGTCTTGTTTATCTCCGTTTTCAGATAAATACTGTCCCAGTTCATTTACTTCCCCATCACTGTAGCTGCCATCCATTCCCATCATTTGCCTTGGCTGAGGTAGTGCACAGGTGCAGGGAAGCTGCAAAGAAGGGGAGAAAGAGTTGTGCTCAGGAATGCTCTTCTAGAGCAAGTGTGAACAACTTACTGCCTTTCCACTGCTGGATTGCAGTTCCCACCAGCCCTTGCCAGAATAACCAACAGATATATGATACATGCTTAAATGTGAGCATTGACAGCTATGAGCTTAAGTGGTGGGGTCTGACAGGTGTTCTTAAACACGTTGCCTTACTGTAGTTTCCAATATTGATAGTCATATGTTGACGAGACATCATAGAAAATGAATAAGTTGGTGGTGCATATACACCTCAGCAAACTCGTTTTGAGTCTAATTTGGTGGGTATAAGACTGCTTGTATGACAATTCTGCTGCAACTGCCCTGACAATTGTATGGAAAGAGGGACCACTGAGGAAGCTGGTGGAAAGTGGAAACTTCCTCTTGTACAATATAAGGAGAAGTCACACCTTTCTGTTCACACAGGCTACTATCAGACCCAAAGCCAGATTTGAGTTCATGTGTAACAGAAGATGGTAGTCACACTATAGGAATGGCTTTCATGTGAAGAAAAGGTCTCTTAGAACATTCTGCCCTTCCCACTCAACCCAACATTGACTGTTTTCATCACTGAGCCAAGACAAAATGGGAGGAAGTGGGGCCTGTAGGAAGAGAGCTGATTTGTTGATGTTACACCAGCTGTCTGCCTACAGGTGCACTTCTTTGTGGTTCAATGTGCTTTCTAACCAGGATGCCAAGCTCTTTGTTCTGTCTCCCCTCCATGCCTGTTCTCTTCACCACAGAGAGCTTTTGATGGTCACCGAGAATACTGACTCGTAACTGGGCTGTTTTAGCTGGTATCTCTCCTCTTTCCCTTTAGAAATTTTCCCCTAATTTCTGCAAATTGCAGAGTTCCCCCATGCTTATCACCTCTTTTGTATGTGTATGGTGTTCTTTTGGCTTCACAGGTGATGACTTTCACAATTTGAACATCAGTAGTAGTGAGAATTTGCCATCAACAGAAGAACCATTTTTGTCCTCCAAAGAATTGAGGAGACTAGACATGCTGAGTTCACATAACAAGCACTACAGTCCTTTCACGTGGAAGTACTTTGAAAGTCAATTTAGACAATGCAGTTAACGTTTTATTAGAAACAGAGGTTCCTTAAGAGCCAGGGGTGGGGGCATTTAATTTTAACACAAGCCTGACACTATATTCATTCAATAAATCGACTTACTTTTGTAATTCATTATTTCAGACACAGCATGGCTTTGTTTGTACGTCTAATGCCTTAGGTATCACAAAGGTTTGCATGTCGTGACGGATAATTTAAGAGTAGGAAACATACATTTACCTCAAAGTGTGGTCTGATCTTAAGAAATATGTTGACGAGACATCATAGATGACAGATCTGTTTAAGTGATAAAGGTTAGGTATATACATGTAGCAGACTGAGGTGAAAGAATTGTGAGATGGCAGAATAGACCATCTGTTTTAATATATGGAACATCCAAGCACATAGTCTTCCAGCTGCAGCCTGAGATGCAGCTGTATTTGCATAGGGCAAAAAAATAGTTGACATTTTATTAGAAATGGGTTCCTTATATGTTCTTGTACATTCTAAACACACCTGTACTTTTCATTTTGAGTTTTCTTTAGAAACTAGTACATATATGGATATTTCAAGGTGTAGCTGAACACCAGATAATGTTACACTTACCTTATCTCGCAGCTTCCGTTCCTTTCGCTCTTGCACAGTGGTCAAATAATTCACTGCTGCATACTCTAACACTGAGAGGAAGACAAACACAAAGCTGACCCAAAGGTAAATGTCCACAGCTTTGATGTATGAAACCCGAGGCATGGAAGCATTGACGCCTGTGATGATGGTAGACATGGTCAGCACCGTCGTGATCCCTGAGAATATACAAACATGATGTCCACTTAGGAAATGCATTTGTGTTTACTGCACACAAGAGTGGTAAGCTTTCTGGTAAAAAAGCAACATATTTGCTTAAATTAGTCCCTTTGCATGATCTGATGCCATCACCCTGCAATTAGTTTTTTGATATGCCTATCTGGGCACACTGGATTCAGGTGTGATTTACATCTTAATGCAAGGATAATATATGAGTAGAAGGTCTGCCTTTGGATACAGTGCTAGATAGACAAACAAGCATACGTACCAGAGATTAAGCCTCATTGAACACAGTGAGTCTTATTTCTGAGTAAATACTTGTAGGATTGCACTGCAGACTTGAAATCCTACGCAGTTACCTGGAGGTAAGTCTTGTTGAACATGGAATGTAAGCAGACACAACTGTGCTGCAAGTGATTTCCAATCAATTTATAACTAGGGTTGGACAAATCTTGTCTCCAGTTTCCAAGTCCCTGCATTTTGTTTCTAACCTGTATTACTTTTACCTGTTTTAATCTCTGACCATACTGGCTGGGTATTTTGGGAATCATTGTCCAAGTAATGTTTGCCTCTCTGCTCTAAAGTAGACAATGTTCAGTATGTATTCAAGTTACAGATATGGAGATAAATATGTAGGTGACTATGACACGTGACAATCTGTTTAAGTAATATGGATAATCAAACTGTATAATAATAATTTGCATGCCATTACATAAATTCCAATTTACAGCACCCCTTTCAAGGGTTTTCCAGGTATAGGCTCTGGGACTGTGCAGCTTGCCCAAGGCCACACAGGCTGGCTCTTCTCCCAGGAGACATATGGAGGAATCAGTCTCCCAACTTCTGCCTTTGCAGCCAAATGCCCAATTCATTGAGCTATCCAACCTCCTGGCCCAACTGCATTGTAACATAACAGGCATCAGGTTAAGGCAACTGAACAACTGAGCAGTTTTAATTACTGTCCAGAAGTGCATAAACAAAAATTTCAGTTCCTGAATGAAGCACCATCTCCTCTCATTGTTTATAAGAGCAAGGAGCTCAAATCCTGCTCCAGCATTTGCTGCAACCCTGTGACATTAGCTGTGAGAGAAAGAGGAGAGGTCTGAAGACTTATGCTGCAGCAGGGTGTTGCTTTAGACTCCATATTTTTACACACAATTGTACACAAAACCAGTCTACAAAATTACCAAGGTAAAACCCAACTCAGCTACTAATCTAATACCACATATTTCCCAGACTTTACATAGTCCAGGAAAAAGTGCAAACGTGATTGTATCACGAGAAGTGATTTATTACAGGGGGAGGGAAGTGACAAGAGACTTCAATAATATATTGCAGTTATGCTTATTTATTCATTTATTTCTAATACATACTGTGTCTAGAGATCTGATACTATGGTACAGCCAATAAAATTATCTTAAAACCTTTTAAAACATCCCAATTTCAAATACTCTAAAACACTTCAAAAACAGTGTAACAATTCAAACAAAACAAAGCCAGCAAACTGGGAGATTGGAAACCAATGACTGGCCAAAATAAAAGCGATGTCAACAAGCAGCTGGGCCTCCAGGGAGAGGTCAACCCACAACTGGAATGTCAGCCTAGCGATGGGAGTCACTCAAATGTGATAATTACTAACCTATATATTTAGTAAAGCTTTCCCCACCTGAGTGCTCTACTGAGGATGTTGGATAATTCCCATTGTCTCTGAGCCAGCTTGGGCTGAAAGGCATTAGCTTGGGACAGACAAATGCACAACCTGGTCCATGTCCATGGAGACATAACGTACATCCTCTGTCTACCACTAAACCCTACAGACAATGAGGGATCCATTAACTTTTGGTGAAGTAGAAAATGAAAGGCAGGCAAAGATGTCACAATTGTGCCTGCCTTTCCAAAAAGCTTTCCCGGGCTGTGACTAGTAGAGGCAGGGTAGATTCGGTGCAGTGAGGTGTATGTTAATCTACCTAAGGGAACTCTGGCAGGCACAGCTCTGCGGTCTATCCAAAAAGACACCCATGACAGCATGACCATCAAAGTGGCAGGGAAATAGGTCTGGAGCAAGAAGAAGAAGATATGCCGACGTAATGTGAAGTTGATGTACAGGCGGTTATACCAGCCTACAAGAGAAAGAGAGGGAAGTTGTTAAGAGAGCTGGCTCACACAGAAGATTGTTGTTATGTCTCGTGAAATTGGAATGAACTTATAGTTACTCTAATAGGACTTCCAAAGTAAGTGAGATCTTTAAGGAGTGGTTTCACCAGGTCCACTCCCCCCAATGAATTTCCATGACTGAGCAGGTATTTGAACCCCGGCCTCTTGAGTCCTGTTCTGTCACTCAGTCCACTAGATCACAGTGCATATCACTGCACAGAAGACTATCAGTGATGAAATTACATCACCATCATGGAGAAGCTGAACGTTTTCACAAGACAGGTTTACCGTGAAATATGAACGGGGTCTTTCTCTTTCCTCCATCCCTTCCCTCTTTTATGTGTCTTTATGATGAGCCACTATTGATTCGTATTAGCCCACTTGTTCAATTAATAATAATTGTGTTCCATCAAGTCATTTCTGATTTATGACAACCCTTTTCAGGGCTTTCTGAGTAGAGATTACTCAGAAATGGTTTACCACTCCCTTCTTCTTGGGGCACCCTCCCTGGGACTATGCAGCTTGCCCAAGGCCACGGAGTCTGGCTCCTCCCGAGAGGTACAGTGGGGAGTCGAATTCCCAACCTGTGACTGCAGCTGGATACCTAACTCACTGAGCTATCCAGCCAGCCCCCTGTCCACTTACTGTAATGGCCAAAATCCTCTTAATATTTGTACGCTCAGGTAATGCAGTCAGTGTAAATCTCAGCAACAAATTGCTGTAGGTTAAGCCAGCATAGGCATTTGCTCTTGAACCCCAAGCCATGTGACAGCACAAAAGAACAAATGCCTCTAATGACTTGTAGCAATCATCTGTTGAGAATTATGCCAATTGCATCAAGCTAGTGCATGCAACTAAGAAGATTTTGGCCAATGTCCATAATTATGTTTTATTCACTTAGATATCCTTCAAATATGTGTTACTAACGAAAAATAAAATTAAATAGTAACAAAAATTTTCAAATTCATATATTCAGGTAACTGCATCTTAGACTGAGTGATGCAATTTCAAGACTTTCCATCCTTATTTCCCTGTTCACTATGTCCTCATCCTGACAAAGGATACTTCTATATGAGCCAGGGACTAAATGTTTCGTTACAAGTATCTGAGGAAGTGGATTACAATCTATGAAACCTATTAAATAAATCTGTTATTCTTTAATACACTACAATATTTTAATTTTGCTATGACACAGCAACCAAAGCCTGCCTCATTGTTCCGGGAGGCGAGGAATCCAACATGGTCCCGCAGTAGTTTCTCCATCAAGTCCAAAGCTAGTTTAGCAAAATATCTGTTGTTTTATCAAGAGATAAAATAGATTTAATTCAAGATCACACCAGAACTGAGTCATCCAAAGAACACTCTCACCTGTGCTACTATAGAAGGCAAGCTTGGTGGTTGTGTGAAACTCTTGTATAAGGAACTGGGAAAGTGATATCCTCTCATCTGTTTTCAGGGAGTCATTCCCGTTCTTCCAGTATAGCATAAGATCATCTTCAGTATAAGCATCTGTGGCGGGAGAGAAGCTAATTTATTGCAATGAAGTCAGATAACATATTCTACACAAATGTATGGTGCTAATCTCTATTGTTATGTACCATCAAGTTGGAGTCCACTTATAGCAACCTTCATAGGGCTTTTAAGATCAGTAAGATATTTAAGGAGTGGTTTCACCAGTTCCACATACCCCCATCAGTTTCCATGACTGAGTGGGAATTTGAACCCAGGCTTTTTGATTCCTAGTGTATCACTCCACCCACTACATCACACTGAGTATCCATCATCTCTCTATATATCATATATTCCTGTTGTTGTTTTTGTTTGCTAGGATACATGTAGCTGTCCGTCTGTATGATCAATTCTTTTTCACTTTCTCTCATTTAAATGAACTCCTCTCATCAAAAAGTATACAGGAAGAATCAAAAGGCCTGCAGTCAGTATGCTTGATGTTGGTGGCAGGACTAGGCAACATCTTTATTTGGGGTTCATTTTGTTTATTCACTAGCAAACCCAATACAAGCTGCTGGTGCCCACTGCTCATGCCTAATTTTGAAACCCCAAACAGCTTGGGACCCAAATGAATAAAGAACACTTCTCCTCATGTAAGCCTGCCCATGACTTATGTCTACAAGGGCAGACTCCTTTCCAAGGACCTTGAACACTTTCTGTGTATCTTGATGATTCTAGTTGTGACATCCCAGCCAACGGAGTACTATAGGACCAGGGCTTGGAGGGACAGAGTCCTGAGACTTTCTGAGCAGGAAGTTATATTTGGAGCTTTTATTGTCTTAAATATTGTTTTGATTACGGTTATATGCCCTCCTAGTACCACATGGATGAAGAACAGTTTGGATAACAAATATGGTTATGATCACTATGTTTTTTTCCCTTGTGTTTTTAAGCTTATAGAAGAGATAGCCATACAGCGGCAGCTTTACAAAGCAAGCGTTTACATGAGCAGTTTTACTGACTAGTTCTATTCAATACTTCTAACACATGGTAGGTAGAAGAAATTGGAAAGTTAAGGCCTGGATTGTTGGAACTTTTTTTTTCCAACCTGGTGCCCTGTCTTCAGTTATGTTGGATTACCCAGATCTTTCTCTTTCTATGGATGAAAGGGAAAGAGGCTCCTAGGAATTTAAAATTTAATATAGTTGAAAAGAAAGTGGCCAGAGAGAAGAGACTGGGATAGAGGATGTGTATTCACTTCATCTTTATGCTAAAACAGCACCATCTTCTTTGTAAGTACTATCTGGTTGCATAGGCCAGGGTAAAGGGACTGCTGTGGGAGGCAATCCAGTATGAATTCCATCCATTGCAGGGGAAACAACGGTCTTGGACTAAAACTCCCAGAAGCCTTCACCACCAGCTATGCTGGCCAGGATTTCTGGGAACTGTAGTCCAATATCATCTGGGGACCCAAGGTTGGGAACGACGGGTCTAGGTCTTCTTCTCTGCACACACTCCTGATCCTGTTCTTGTCCTTGTAGCATTCCTTCTATAGGAGACCGATGAAATGAACAGAAGCACCTTCCAGAAGAAAACAACGCAACCCTACTTAGCAGCCCAACATCAGTGGCTGGTCTGTATCGATCCTGTTTACTTACAGCTTTCAATTTCCAACGAACATGTTTGTGTGTCAAGGGGAAAGCGACTGAAGTCCATGTTACACATAGCTGTTACCGTGACCCTAGAAACAGAGGAAGTGTATTTGAAATGCTTTCTTAGTATGAGACTGAAAGAGCTAAAAAAAATTTTTAAAGATAAATAATGCATGAACTTATTAATAATAATATGAGAAGTTTCTAAATGTTCTGAGTATGTTTTTGTCCAATGGGCAATACAATTCTATGCACGAATAGAATAATATACAACCATATGCATTCTTACAGTTATATAATTTGCAGAACATTCAACTGCACAGGACCTCAGTGTACAGAAGATTGCAAAGCCAAGCCTGAAATCCTTCTCACACATACCAGAAAGTAAGCCCTGTCAGCTTAGTGGGACTTCTATATAATTTGCAGAACATTCAACTGCACAGGACCTCAGTGTACAGAAGATTGCAAAGCCAAGCCTGAAATCCTTCTCACACATACCAGAAAGTAATCCCTATCAGCTTAGTGGGACTTCTTAATAGACATACATAGGATCAGATTCTGAGGACAATTTGCTGGATCCAGAACTGGTCTCTATCGAGAGTCCTTCCATGCACAGGAGGCTTTTGATCCAGCAAAGGAATCTTACTGGTAGAATGGAGGAGATGGTGATCCCCACTGATCTCCACTCCATCCCCCCCCGCATGGACAGTAAAAACCAGAGGTTGGCACTGTTGGGCCACACAGCAGCAGGAGAGCCACTGTTGTACCCCAAGAGCATTCTGGTCCCGCTCCTTCTCCTGGCTTTTGCCATCTTCTTTACTTGCCCTGCCTGGATGTGCAAGCAATGAGAAAAGAAAAGAAAAAAGGAACAGTGTTTCTAATTTTGAATGGCATTGTAAATTGGTCCTAGAGAGAAAAAAACAACTAAATGGGCAGTAGTCGCAATTGCAAAGAAGTTCTGTATTTTCCATGTATAAGACTATACTTTTGTCTAAAATCTTTAGACTAAAAAATGAGGGTCATCTTATACACAGAAGTAAGCTGAGGAGAGAACAAAAACAAGTGGAGGGGAAAGCAGGGATCAAAGCGATCCTGCAGCACTTTGATCCCTTTCCCCCCACCCTTAAGCCCCACTTAGATTTCTTAATTTTGGATTAGAAAGTTGGCAGCGTCTTATACATGGGGGTGTCTTATACATGGAAAAATATGGTAGGTGCACCCACAAGGAGATTTTGTTGAAGGTTTCTTGACCAAAAGGCCACCAGGCATCCGAGGCCAACACTGGGTTGGTCCACCAAAAAACTCTGCCATGCTTATTTTTAAATTTGCACACATCGATAGGTATTGCAGGAATATCACTGTCTAGTAAGAATTCATGCACAAAATATTACAGAAGATAGTAGTTAAACTTCCCTCAGTGTCAGCATATTATCCAGAGGCTAATCAAAGATTATTGTAAATTCCACTTTACCTCAAGCTATAAAGTACCTTCCCATCTGGCTGGACCCGAAGCATGACATTATCTGTCGTGGTGTCATGGATGAAGGATCTCTTGGAATGTACAAAGAACATGTCAGGTACCCAGATTTTTTTCACAAGCCTGCCGTCAAAGGTCATACTTTGGTTATTGGTACTTGGAAACGATAGTCTTTCATCTTTCCAGTAATGTCTGAGGTAAAGAGTCATGGTGAAGTCCTGACATAAATCAGAAATTGGGAAAGGGAAATTTTCATTCATATTACAGCTTTTAAAATTTAAATAGATTGCTTAGTCCCATGTAACAAATTTTAAAAACGCAAAAACAAATGTACCCATATCAGTGAAATAACAACTATCAAGCTGGAGAACTCAAATATGCAGCATTGAAGTTTGAAGTTGAGTTGAAATGTTTGATCAAAAGTTTAATAAACTGCTAAGTTCCGCAGAGTAAAAAATTCTATAAATAGTTGAAAAGGTGACTCTATGATTGTACAAATTGTGTTGTTCTCAGCAGGGCAGAAACTGCTTTCAAGTGGTATAAAATATATTCCAGATTTGAGGGTAATACTATTTTTGGATACTGCAAAAGCACATTGGGTTGGATCTTCACTTCCCTTTTATCAACAAAAGGGTTCCATGAAATAAATTCAGTTGTTACATTCAGCTAGAGTAGACCCACTGAACTGATGGAATTTGGTAGATCAACTCAATGGCTGTATTATAATTGGGTCTAATAAATGGATTTAGCTCCCTCTCTTCATGGCAAAGACTGAGATCTAGTGGAAGCTCCCTGTGGAAGGAGGTGATTTTTCATTGATACCCATTTCCCCCACAGCTTCCAATGCCATCTTTGGCATAGTTTGGGAGGGTCTCTAACATCTAAGGCAGCTTTGGGAGTCAAGGAGGGATGAGTGAACATTGGCATTTGCCGTTTCTCCAGCAGGAGAATTCTGCTCATTTAACTCAGGCTGTGATAACAGAACTGCAACAAAACATTAAAAAACAAAACAAACCAAAATTGTACGTCAAAAGTTTATATCAGTGTGTGTGTTCTTTAACTGTGGGTGCTTTACTGCTAGATTATGCCAAATTTATTGTGTCACTAAATCTGGTGAGATGGTCACTTTAGTGTGACATACTACTGGTCCATCCAAAGGAACATATGCAGAGCGGCTGGCATGGCTGGCTCTACCATTAGTCAAAGGGAAGCAGTTCCCTCAGATAGATCTGGACAGAGGAGTCATGGAGAGACAGCATTACGTCAGGCAGATATGCCCAGCCATCCTAAACTAGACAGTGGCCATGAGACACCGAGGAGCACACTGTCTCCCCGCCACTGCTAGGAAATGAGATTCAGCTGTCAGTATACCTATGTGGAACAGGAGGGAGTGTCACCTCAGACCACAAAATGAATTGGGTTGGCTTGAGCAGCCAAAGCTTTTCAAATTAGCTAAAATATCACTGAGCAGTTATCAAACAGTAGGCTAATCTGTGTACATAGAACTCCAGCTGAATCAGTGTGTGCACTTCTATACTCTGGGACAAATGGAGAACTCCCTCCAAATATAAAAGAAGTAGGTTGCACATTAATTTGATGCTGTGTTATTTTGGGCACTTATAAATCACCCGCAGATATACAAGCCAGACCCACATGTATCTTCTGCCCACCTCTGTCCCAAAAGAACGCTGGCTCAGTACCTCTTGATGTCTGGTCGTTACTGTCCATGAGGTACCTATTAACCAGCATGAGGGCTAAAGCCAGCATCCTGTGTAAGTAAAGAGCAACATTTTGGAAGCCAAACTGTATAGGGGAAATGGAAGACAGAAGGTTGAGCTGTGACATCTGTCTGGTGCTTTTGGGCGCCTGCTGTTTGTTGTCTGTGAAACTGATGGCAGCATTGAGTGTCAGAGTGTATGCCTGATCCTCCGTTCTCAAGTTGTTTATCTGGCAGAACTATCAATTAAATAAGTACTCAGTAGTCTCTCCACATAAAGGAGTTTTCCAGAAACTTCCTAGCATCTGGCAAAATAAGATGCAACAACACAGGATGCTGCATTCATGAGCTAATGTATAATATTAAAAGAACTGCTGGATAGTTCTGTAGTTTAGGTCTCTGGCTGCAGAACCAGAGGCTGGGAGTTCGATTCCCTACTGGGCCTTCTTGACAAGGGCTGGACTTAATGATCCTTAGGGTTCCTTCCAGCTTTGCTCAGTTCTAACATGATGATCTGAAACCATTAACTGCACTTTAAAAAAAACTAATTCCTCAACCTGGCACTTACCATGTCAACTTCTGAAATACTGTCCAAGCTTTCAACTTGTACATCTACGCCAACAGGAATTGCAGGGCCTGTGGAACCAGGAGAATATAGTATTGTAAGCCATCAAAATGGATATTCAGAACAAGAGACAAAGAAAGAAAGAGACAGAGGGGGGGGGAGGGAGGGAGCTCACCAATTAGCTTCTCTTAAATGGCTTAGGGATTTTGACCAATTTTGGAGAGTATGCTTGTGAAGTTCTGACTTGAAATATAGGCTACTTGTTCCCATGAAAACCACTCTGGGCATCCTCAAAGGCACCACAATTAGTTTTTTTGCTGCTTATAGAGTCATGTGGTGTGGCATTTTAAAGATGTCCATGAATGGCATATATAAATATTTATGCTGTAATTTTATGGAGTAGGAAATTTCTGGAAGTGTACTCTTTGGAAATGCTGAATGAGTACCAAGGGAGAGAGAGCAAGAGAGAGAAAGAGAGAGCAGCGCAAAAGAAAGAAATGGATACACAAAGAAGACAGAAGGGAGGTGGGTGTTGTGGGACTTTAACCTTGGTGAAATTGGATCCATTGGCTACTATAACTAATAAACCTACACAAACTGCTCTTTGGGTTAAAGGATCCTAAAGATTTTCATTTTAAACCAAATAGGCTCATCAGGAATCCACAGGTAAGATATCAGATGACAGAGGACACATAACAGCACACGGATTCCTTGTCGTTTGCTAACAAAAAGTAACTAGACATTGTTTAACATTAAGAAAATGTCAGCATTTGCAAAAAAGGCAAATAGCACGGATCACAATTGTTGCCCATTCAAACATGGGGGCTTGTTCACATACATGTGTGGGTTTTTTTGGGGGGGGCAAGAGGTTTACTCGCCCCTTCAAATCTTAATTTTATTCATTATTTTAAGGTAGACAAACATACAGTACTATGTTCTAGTGGTGCACACTGTGTGCCCAAATTATGCTAAAATACCATTGTGCAGCTTTACCCTCCTCTGAAAAAAATATTCCCCAAACACTGGCATATAGGTGCACATGTGCCCACACAAACAAAAGCTGATGGTGAATCTTGTTGTATTGTGCAGCAGGAGGAGTATGTAGGCTTCCCCTGACTTTTTTTGCACATAGTGATTGGGTTTGAAAGGTGTTCTATTGGTGGGATGGTTTCCAACTGTGGAATCGGTATGAATGAAAACTCCCTTCTCTCCCTAAAAACCTGCTCCGGGACGGCTGGGAAGCCCTCCATAGTGGCTTTTTGGACAACCCAAAGGCCTGCAAGGGGAAGGGGAGGAGGAAAAAAAAGTCTTGTTAACAGATGGAGGCTTGCACACCACCAGAGTTAGGTCAAGGTAATGTGTGAGACAAGGCTGTAGGTATGTATCTATAAATATATGCATGCCCAGTTCATATTACCTCCCCTCCCCATGGTCTGTTGAAAGGGAAGTGATAGTACAAGTTACATTTATGTATACCCATGAGAAGCTGGCTGGATAGCTTAGTGGATTAGGTGGCTGGGGAGCAGAGATTGGGGGTTCGATTCTGTCTCCTGTGAGTGGAGCCGGTCTGTGTGGCTATGGGCAAGCTGTCCAGTCCCAGGGCCACCCCAGAAGCAGGTGGAAAATCCTGAAATTATAATTCTGCTTATGTCAGAATTAACTTGATTGTATATTATTATTATTTATTATTTTTATACCCATGAGAATAATTAAGAGGCATGATTTAGAGCCCCAAACTGGCATTTGCATGGCAATTCTGACATTAGATATTTTTTTTTGTATTGATCTCTCTGTCTATCACTGTATTGTAATTAACACCTGCAGGTCTGAGGGCTAAATTAAACTTGATGGGGACAACTTGCTTTTACATGTCAACAGCCACCCTGTAGTGAGTGAAGAAGGTGCAGTCCTTTTCCTGGAACAGAACTTAGTTTTAAAAAGTAATCAATTTCTGTTAGCTTAGAGGGGTCTAAAAGTAATTGGTTGCTGACATTTGTTACAGTTTTTAGAAGCAGCTCCTGGCATTGCTCATTACTTTTATTGCAGTTACGGAACACGAGAGAGACTAAAAAGCATAAATATTGCTCAAGTTAATGAACAAGCCAAAAATTAAAACTCTAGTTGTGTCAGGCACATTTGGTAATAATAAGCATACACCCCCATGAAGCGGTATAATAGTAGTTTGGATTTGAATGACCATCTGTCAGCCAGGAAAGGGTAGATAAATTACAATGTTCTTTAATCCAGCAGGCTGTACAGAAGCACGTTTTCCTAATCCTCTGGTCTAAAAGCCTGGATTTCCAAAGCACCCAGGAGACAACCAAAATGCTGAAAGTGAAACATTAGCTCTCGGCACGTTCTAAATATTCTTTTTGTAGTTAAATATTCTTCCTGTGGGTCAGCAAAATGATCAGTTACTTGATTATTTGGAGACATGCACGCATGCACAATATAGACACAAGCGGATATGCACAGACACACGCAGGCATAGCTGCTGTGGGATAAAGCCTCAGGATTTCACTTCTGCCTGCAGAGAAATATGAGCCAACCAGAGAGCTTTTATCAGGAAAAGGTTAAGCTTAATGCCCTGAAATTTAATATTGACAGAAGGTACATCTGTCTGCCTGAGGGAACCTTTACAACAGGGACCGTTAATGTTTGTATTCTCTAAAGTCACTCTTCTTCAGACAGTTGTCCAGCTCAAAGTCTGGGTCACTTTAAAATAAAAAAGCTGAAGCTATCCCTAAATAAGCAGTGGTAGGATGATGGCCTAGCACCAAGATCATCATCCCCACATGGTTTTTTTCATGATGGGTTCTGTCATGTCTCTGCATTCACTCTTTAAAAGTAATCAATTTATATATACTGTA